GAAGGTCCCTCAAAAAATTAAAAATAGAAATGAGCCAGAAATTCTATTACTGGGTATTTACCCAAAGAAAATAAAAACACTAATTTGAAAAGATATATGCACCCTTGGGTGTATGTGTGTGTGTGTGTATACATACATACATGCATATATAATGGAATATTATTCAGCCATGAAAAGGATGAGATCTTGCCATTTAAAACATGGATGAACCTAGAGGATATTATACTAAGTAAAATAAATTAGAGAAAAACAAATACTATATGACTTCACTTACATGGGAAATTTAAAAAATAAATAAAGAGCAGAAAAAGACCCTTAAATACAGGAAATGAATTGATGGCTGCCAGAGGACAGGGGATGGGGGGATGGGCACAATGGGTGAAGAGGAGTGGGGGGCACAGGCTTCCCGATATGGAATGACTAAGTCACGGGAATCAAAGCTACAGCACAGGGAATGTAGTCAATGGTGTAATAGTGTTGTATGGCGACAGATGGGAGCTACACTCGTGGTGAGCACAACATGATATATAGAGAAGTTGAAACACTATGCTGCACACCTGAAACTAATATAACACTGTGTGTCAACTGTACTACAATAAAAATACAAAAATTTGGGGGTGCTTGGGTGGGTCAGTCAGTTTAGCATCTGGCTCTTGATATCAGCTCAAGTCTTGATCTCAGGGTCGTGAGTTCAAGCCCCGCATTGGGTTCCACACTGGGCGTGGAGCCTTCCAAAAAAAAAAAAAAAAATCAAATAAAAAGATGGTCAGTCTCCTGAGTCACCACCTAAACTTTATCATGTCAGGGTCAGCCACCAGGGTTCTAACTACAAGAAAACTTGATAGGCCTCTTGAGAGAAACAGTGACTGCACTGAATGGTATTCAGACTTTTGAGTCAGGAGGGAGGACAGTCTCTCCCTGGCTTCTTGGGATGTTCTTCAGTGGCAAGGAGGTCATCTGGAGGTGGGAAAGACCAACCTGGCACCCAGCTGGATTATTAATGGGATGGATGCCTTTGGGTGTAAGCCTGTGAGGTTCTTCTCAAATGCCTTCTGACTTGCCTCAGGGTTTAAGAGCCAAAATTTGATGAGAAACTGAGAAAATGAATGAGCTGTGATTTGAGTGCTATAGAATTATGGTATGGGGAGTCTGGTAAGAATTGTTTCAATATTTATTACACATTGGTTGTCAGGCACTGTGTTCGGCTGCATGTACAAGAGAGTGCAGAAGACAGACATGATTCTATATCTATATCTGATGATATCTATTTATGAAATTGTGCTAAGTACCAGAAAAGGGGGAAAAAAAAAACAAACAGAGTATGATGAGAGAGAATGCTAACTGGGATTATCTCATTTAGATGGAGTGACCAGTGAAGACCTCTTTGAGGAAGTGATATTCGGTTTAGAACTGAAGGATTCTGGGAGCTGGTCATATAAAAGTAGGGCCGACGTGGGGCAATTCCGGTCAACGGCAGCAGCTCGGGCAAAGGCCCTGAGGTGGGCAAGAACTTGCCATATTTGATGCCATATTTGAAAGGCCTGTGTGACTGCAGTGTGGCATGAGAGGAAGAGAGTAGAAAGCGAGTTGCAGAGTAAGGAAGTGCCCAGATAACGAGGGGCTTGGAAGTCACCCTGAAAATTTCAGATTTTATTCTCAATGGCAATGAAAATGCATTGGTGGCGACGGAAGGAGTGCTGGCCTCAGAGAAAGGAGGGGACAGTGCAATGCTGTGTGCTTCCCCATGTCGGCAGCAGGGCCACTGGCACCTGCAGTGTGTCCTCCGAAGATGGCATGCTCAGCATCACTGAGTGAGGTAGCAGAAGGATCTTAATGATTCCATCGTGCACCACTCCGGGCGACTGCTGAGTCATGTCTAGAGCTCCAGGCCATGACAGTCCACTGAGGCCACTCCCCTGCTAAAACATGGGAAGGACAGAAAGAAAGAGGAGCCCCTTCAGTGCATCTTTCCACGGCAAATATATGTGTTTTCCCCCCACACCCCCCAGCAATCACAGAGCTAACATCTTGTTCGAAAAGATTATTTCTGCTAATGAACAAGGTTCTGGTAGTACCCCAGACTAAGACAAGTCCCTGTTATTATCTGCTAGAGTGTTTATTTCTCCATGATTTAGCCAACATATGATATTTGGTGGCATTATCAAAGAGCGATATTGGTGTTTAAAGACTGCTCTTTGTCTCTATTTCTGTTCAGATTCTCCCCAGGATCCGAGGACACTGGATGGGTTGGGGGCAGATATGAGGATTCTGATTCCTCCTATCCCGGATTAAATCAAGAAGCAGGGCAGAGGGACATGTGAAAGTATAGCATAATTCTTACTGAAGAATGCTAGAAGTTTCTGTGCGAGTTTGAGAGAGAAAAGCAGGGAGGATCTTAGCCTGAAACAGAGGGGTCCGTCAGTCCATCAGTCCACTGGTAGAATCTCTGCGGATCCTGGTTGTTGGGCGTTGACTTGTACTTCTTCCGGCAACCTATCTCCCCTCTGCACCTTCTTTTACCTTTAGTGGAAGACCATCAGGTATGTTAAGTCTACAGATGGATTACATGTGGGAAGATTTGCTGCATTTACAACAGCAAGGACAACATTTGCTAAGAGCTTACTTTGAAGCTAGGGACTATTTTAAGTGTAACAAGTGCTTTGACTCACTTAGTGCTCACAATGCCCTATGAAATAAATACTGTTCTGATCAGGCCCATTTTTATAGATGAGAAAACTGTGGCACCGAGGAGGGACAGTGGCCTGTCCAGTTCACACAGCTCATAAGTAGAGGTGCTGGGATTTGAACCCCAGGCAGTTTAAGTCAAGAACCAGAAACCCCTAAGCATCATGCACCACTTTCTCTCCTCCCCATCCTCGATGTGGTGTGTTTTTTCACTCATTTGAATCTTTGCCAACTTCAGTAAAATTTTTATTTAAAAAAGATGATTCTATAGGGTTTTTGTCTGAGTTATTTCAGGATACTTTCAAGGTGTTTTTTGTTTTTGTTTTTGTTCTTGTTTTTTGGTTGTATGTATGGTGGAATTCTTAAAATTATACATTCCTATGATCACTTCTGGACTTTAAACTTGCCATTTTTCGTAAGTATGAGTAAAGCCATATGTGAGTTCAAAAAGCACATTCACTCTGCCCATCTCGAAAAGATAGTGAGAAGCTCATGCAGTCATTCTGCTCTCATCTGTCACGCTGTCTCCTGAGTGCAGAGTAGGATGTGGGCAGAAGTGTCTGGACAGGAGACAGTGCCAGGTGTTGGAGTCTAACGGGAAGGGGCCCCGTGTGTCACGCTAGGGAATTTGGATGACTTGAGGCTTCAAACCCTCCAAAACAAGTTTTTAGGTGAGAAAGTGAGACCTCCGAGTTTGTTTTTATCAGGGTGGTTCTGGCGTCATTCTGCAGGGTAATTTGTGCTCGGGAAGGCTGGTGGGAGGGAGAGCAGTTAGGGTGCCATTGCCCTAGGGCAGGTGAGAGGTAATAAACGTCTGCCCTAAGACAATAACAGGAAAAATAGAAATGGAGAGGGTGTGCTGATGTGAGAAACAGGTGTGGAAAGATCAACAGGCCTGGGTTCAATGTTGCGGGAGAAAGAGGAAGGAGTTGAAGTCATCACCAGAGAGACTGACGTCAAGTGAAACAGGTAGTATGGGGGGAGGAGGGGCTGGGGCGGGGGGAGAAGGTGGCTGGGAAATAAATCTGGTGTTGCTTTGGCTCAGGTGGGGAGCCAGAATGACAGTCACAGAAATGCCACAGCATGATGGAACTGCTAATGAAATCTGAAAAGTAGGGCTCACCGGTAAAATGGAAAACAGAGTTTAATGAGAGGTTTATAGGGTTTGTATCAGGGCATGATTGGGACTGCCACCAAGCACTTGGGAGTTACTGGCATATAAATGATATTCGAAGCCAGAGAAAAGGTGAGGTCCGTCCAGACAGAGTTCCCAACTTTAGTAAAAAAACAAACCAATAGGACAATAAAGTTCCCATCTTTACTAAAAAAACAAACCAATAGGACAATCAGTTAAATTTGAATGTCAGATCAATGACAAATAACTTTTTAGCATGTTCCACCTGATGTTTAGGACATACTTATCCTAGAAATGATTTCTTTATGTGAAATTCAAATTTAACTGAGCACCATGTGTTACACCTGACAACCACATCACAGGCTGCAAACAAAGGCCTTTAGGGACCAGAGGGCCACTGCTGGAGGACCTGGTGTGTGAGGCACAGTGCAGGGTGGGGCAGCTCTGGCTGCAGGGGTTTGGCTGGCCTCTAGGGTGTCCAGGATTCTAACGTTTCAAAAACATGATGAAATAGATATATTTTAATGTGGACTATCCCCATTTTAAAAGGGGGCAACAGAAGAGAAAAAACATAGTGAGGTCCATGGGTTCCATAGGGCATATCAGCCACTGGTTTGCAACCTCTGATCTGATCCCTGGAGAGGGGGTGGGGCAGATTCCTACCCCATAAATTACAGTGCTTTGCAGTGTTCAGGGTAAAAAGCACTTGGGTGTGGGCAAAGGATAGCAGCAAGGGATTGATTGCCTCATGCAAAAGGTGAGATGTGGACGCGACTCCATAGTCTTGCCCCCCAAGGCCTGGACACCCCCCGCCGGCCCCTCTCCGGGCAGCCCGCTGGTGGGCAGAGCCCACAGCGCTGCGCCCAGCTCTCCCCGCGCTCGCGGGGCCTGAGAAAGATCAGGCGACCCCACCAGCGTTTCAGCCCTGCAGGCTTTCATTAGAAAATTGTGGGCGGAAACTTCCCGGGGTTTGCTCTGAGCCTCTTGCCTTTGAGGCTTCTCAGCTTCAGATGCAAAGTGAGTGGGTGTCTCTTTGAGAAGCAGAAAGAGAGAAGGAAAGAGAGAACGAAAGAGAGGTGTTTCCCTTGGCGATGGAAACTCTATAAAGAGAGAGCCGGCTTGTCTTCTCTCGAGCAGCCAGAAAAACAGCGGTGCCGGCCTTGGCCCTGACACCTTCGCTGAGGGCTCGCCCGAGGAACCGGCTGCCATGCAGCAGCCCTTCAGTTACCCGTACCCCCAAATCTACTGGGTGGACAGCAGTGCTAGCTCTCCCTGGGCCTCTCCGGGCTCGGTCCTCCCGTGTCCGTCCTCTGTGCCGGGAAGGCCTGGGCCGAGGAGGCCGCCGCCGCCGCCGCAGCCAACACTATCACAGCCGGCGCCCTTAGCTCAGCTGCCGCTGCGGCCGCTGAAGACACGGAGGGACCACAACACAGGCCTGTGTCTCCTTGTGATGTTTTTCATGGTTCTGGCGGCCCTGGTGGGGCTGGGGCTGGGGATGTTTCAGCTCTTCCACCTACAAAAGGAGCTGGCTGAACTCAGAGAGGTAAGCTAGTGTAGACAGCTCTGCTGCAGCGGAGGCCCGAGGGATGCCGAGGCCCAGAGGGGCCGTGGCCTCGCTTGCAAAGTATTTTCTAGTCCTTTCCCCCACCCCTCCGTCTTAGAAATGGATCATTCTAGTCGTTCTATTCCAGAGGCGGAGAAACGGAGGTTCAAATGAGTCAAAGGGGTATTTGCTCCCTTGTAGAGGATCAGGGCCCAGATAGGAATGGCACTTAACAATTCTTCCTTTCTCGGTTGGCAAGGCCGCCTGCTGAACCCCTACTAGAGGTTAGTGATTCAAGAAAGAAAAGGAATTTGGAGTCTTGCTTAGAAGTGAATTTGTTTAAATGAGCAAACTAAATTTCCTTGAAAATGCTTAAAAATATTAGAACTATTCCAAATCACAAAACCAGGGCATGGTGAGACATGATTGCATGACCAGAGTCTGAGTTAGGAGAGGTTCTGAGGTTCCATTTCCTTCTCAGGTTCATTTGGTTTGTTTGACAACTTTGCCTCCTCTAGCTTAAAGAACTTCATATTTATTATGCATCTTTTTTTTGGTCTCTCTCTTTTGCCAGTCCACCAGCCAAAGTCCTAGAGCATCATCTTTGGAGAAGCAAATAGGTGAGTCTTTTTATGCATGTATATTGAGTTTCTAAAGACAGTACTCATTGCTGAACCATGTTGGTTGAATGCCTTGAATTCCATCCCATTCTTGGACACGTGTATACTACAAAAGAAATCTTGGCTAATTCGGAATCTTTGCTCATTTTCATTCCTTGAGCTGCCCTAACATCGAAGTGAATTTAATCATTCAAAATCAGTGTAACTGAGTACCGCACACAATTCAAATAATTTCCATTCGACTTTGGAAAGAGACAACACATATACAGCTGGCTCCAGGCCTGTCCCTTCCTCAGGCCTCCTGGTTTCCATGAACAGGGCAGTGGCTGTAACTCCCAGGGAGATGGGGGGGTGTAGGGGACAAAGACAGATGTTCCGGGAAAAGTCATCTCTTCTTTAAACTCTCTGAGAGATTACTCAAGAGTCAAGCTTTATTTAAAAAAATTTTTCTAGGATATATTTAAGCTTTTATTTATTTATTTATTTATTTATTTGCGGGGAGGGGCAGAGGGAGAGGGAGGGAGAGAATCTTAAGCATGTTCCACACCCAGCACAGAGCCTGATGCACGGCTCCATCTCACGATCCTGAGATCATGACCTGAGCCGAAATCAAGAATCAGATGTTTAACTGAATGTGCCACCCAGGTGCCCCTTTAAGCTTTTAAAAAGTATGCAATTAATCATCCACATTAAGGTTGTTCTTTTGCACTCACTGGCAGTCTTGGGGGCAAGACCTTAGCCATTTCTCAAGGGCTATTCCAGCTTCCCCCACAAAGGCAATCATGAGCTACCTTCAATAATAAAAGAAAGCCCTTTTATGAGATTCAGGACTAGGGAGGAGATGAAAACGTTGAACACTGACCTTGTGTGAAGTTTCAGGACATAGTTTGGAAACTATGGGCCGGTAGATTTAGGATGCTCTGGTTCATTCAACTAAGATTCACTGAACTTTGGATTTGGTAAGAGTTGGAAGGGAGCTTGGAGCAAATCTGGTTCAGTCATCTCACTTTTTGGAAGAGAAACAGAATACCAGACAGATTAGGGGATATGCCCTAAACTGCTAGTGTGGAACTGGAGCTAGAAGCACAGACTTCTGGTGCTTTGTTGCCTACAGGGCTTTCCAGCATATAGACTGGTGCCCTATGAAATAGGGAAATTTCCATCTGTCTATGATGTCCATGGAATGAGAAATAAAGATGAGAAGCAAGATGCCTCTGCAAAGACAATAGGTTAATCTTGGGAAGAAAATGGAAGACAGCACTGGCCATCCATTGGTGGGGGAGCCTGTTCCAGTTTCTCTTATGTGCCTATTGTAGGTGACCGAAGTCACCCTCCTGCTCCAGAATGTAAGCTCTGGAGGAGCCATCCCTTGGATGCTCTGGTCTCTAGTTCTAGGTCCAAGTCCCTAAGTGTTAAAAAGTCCAGATGTATTCAAGCAGGGTAGAAATACTTGTTAGAAAAATAAAACCTTAGGAGGATTTCTAAAATAAAATAGCTTTGAAAATCAGTGGAATGTGGCTGGTGAAACAGGTCCCTAATTACTCATCTTTCACCCACTCTCTGGGATCATTTTAGCGATTAAAAGTCAAGTGAACAGATGAGTCAGGTCTACCTCTTCCAGTAAACAAGTATCTTCTTACCAACCTGGATGGACCAGAAATTGGTGAATTTCCCCATGGAGAACAAAGTAGCAACTTTATTAATAGGAAAAGATGTTGCAAATCAAAACAAAGGGATATCCATTTTCATTCATCCCGTTAGTAAAGATTTAAAAAAAAAAAACAGATTGGCAAAAATGGGAGAGAAAAATTTTGCTTAAACATTAGTTGACAGCCAGGGAACATGTAAATTGCTATACCTTTTCTGAAGACCAGTTGGAAAAAATGTACCAAAGGATTAAAAGTGTTAATTTACCGGGGCGCCTGGGTGGCTCAGTTGGTTAAGCATCTGCCTTCGGCTCAAGTCGTGATCCCAGGGTGCTGGGATTGAGCCCATATTGAGCCCCTTATGGAGCCCCAGAGTGGGCTCCCTGCTCCTAGGGGAGCCTGTGGAGCCTGTGGAGCCTGCTTCTCCCTCTCCCTCTGCCTGCTGCCCCTCCGGCTTGCGCTCACACACACACTCTCTCTCTGTCAAATAAATAAATAAAATCTTTAAAACAAAAAGTGTTAATTTACCATGTAATCGCATCACTAAGAATTTATCTTAATAAGATAATCAGAGATATACCCAAAAACTCATAAATAAGGGTGTTCATCATTTTCTTATAAGGCTATTTATAATAAACAAGTCAGAAGAAATCTAAATGCCTCTTAACAGGAGATTAAATACATCATGGTATATTCAGAGGGCATCATATGCAGCAAATGAAATCCATATAATTACATTGAAGGCCATGGAGATTGTGTGTTCTATATTGTTAGATAAAAAAGACAAGTTATAAAACAGTATGCTTAGTATAAATTGACTATATAAGTGTATGTGCATATTTTTATATTCTTGGTAAAGAATTAGAAGGATTTATACTTCAACAGATTAACAGTGATTTTCTCTGGGATGTACTATCATAGATTATTTAAACAAACTTATTTGCTCTTTTTTCATTTTCCATTTTCCTACAGTTAACTCATTAAGTCTTTTATTCATTCACAAATGTTCTTGGAGTGCTTCTTTTGTCCCGGGCTGGGTGCTGAGTGTTGGTGATGACTGAGAACAAGAGAGACAAGGGTCCTGCCCTTAGGGAGCTCTTAGCGTGCAAGAAAGGGTGAACAAAAGCAAGCAAGCAGACAATATAATTTCCAAATTGTACTAAGCGGGATGTAAGATAGAGTGGTCTGGAAAGTCCCCTCTAAGGAGGTGTTGTGTGTGCGTGTGTGTGTGTGTGGGGTGGTGTGGGAGGATAGGGGAGAACATTCCAGCAGTGAGAATGGCATGTGCAAAGCCCCCGGGGGTAGGAAACATTCATCACCCAAGTGTAGTATCTATTTCCAGTTTATTTCAGCATTTATCCAGCAGATATTTTTACCGAGGACCCTCTATGAGAATCACACTGTGCAAGGCTCTGCGAGGGATAGAAAGATATGCAACCTGTGGTTCTCTGTTCCATTTCCTGTCAGTACATGGCTGAATGCCAGACGAGTTGCACAAATGGTTTGTGGTATAGGAATGTAGAGGAGACTCAGTTTTGCCTTTCCTGTTCGCTAACACCTCATTCATGGTGGGTGGTCTTGGGTGGCTAAAGAGGTCATGATTGCTCAGGTCATGCTCTCAGCTGATGGTGGCAATCTCACGCCACAGGGGAGTTTTGCCGGCTAATCGCAATGAGCTTGATGTGGATGAGGGCTTTTCTGTGAATCTTTCTTAAATGTCTTTGAATTCATTAGCTAAGTGGTGGCTCTCTTTGGTTAAAATATTTGAAGTCAGAGAAATAATGTCTACTTTGGGAGCTATTGCCTATTTTAATGCCTCCAATTTCATTTAGCAAATATTTACTGGTCACATGCCCTGAGTTAGAAACTGAGCTAAGTACTCTTGCGGATTAAACATATAGTAGGAAATTTGCCATTTATTTGGGGGGGATAAGGCAAGCTATACAGTTACCACAGAAATGGGGAGCCAGAACCGACAAAAGAGGTAAAGGCAAAGTGATTCTAGGTTTCAAAGGAGGGAAAAACCATATTCGATTAAAAAGTCCTGGGAGGATTTCCCCAAGAAAGAGGTATTGCAAGTGGTATGTATAGGGTTGATAGGAATTTGCCACAAAGATCTGTTTGGAGGGCATTCTGGGCAAATTAACAGCATGAGCAAAGGCATGGGGGCTGGAAGCTGGGTGTGTTCAGGTTACATCAGAACTAATGTTGTGCAGCCTTGGCTGATGTGAGCAAGCAGAGGAGGTGAGGCTGGACAGACAGGCAGAGATCATGTGGCTGGGGAAACTTTTACACAAGTATACATTCAATGGGGAGCTATTCAAGGCATTTGAGATCTGAGGATGATTAATTTGGGCAGATGGTTGAATGCCAGTGGGGGGGAAGATCTAGGGGCCAGGAGGTGAAATCATAGTCTTCTTTGGCCTGTGGAGTCCTAGAGGCAGCTGAACTGGAGTAGAAAAAACCCTAATTTGAAGCCAGGAGACTTGAGTGTCCATCCTATCCTGACATTGAGTAGCTGGGTCTTCTTGGACAAATCACCCAACTTCTAAGCTCATTTAGCTATCTATAAGGTGGGACAGTAATCTCTATCTCAAAGGACTGTGGCAAGTTCAAATGCAGTAACTGATATGATAGCTCTTTATCAAACTTTTTATTGTTCTTTTGTGACATAATTATGCATATGTCTGTCTCAATTTGGTTTATTTTTTACCTCTTTGATTATGAAGTACATGTTGCTGTGAGTTCTACAGTCTGGACTTGAATGATTAGTATATATATGTTAGACTGTTGTCATTTATGTTTTTTTAAAAAAAATCACTTTTATTTAAATGACCAGTTAGGAGTCCCAACAAAAGAATAGTTAGTATCTCATTTTTACATATATCTTTCATCTCTCTATGATACAGGTCAACCCAATCCACCCTCTGAAAAAAGGGAGCTGAGAAAAGTGGCCCATTTAACAGGTCTGTATCTGGAAGGCACAGGGGGCTTGGGAAAGCCTTTGACAGAAAGAGTAGCTGGTTGGGTACTGTGCTCAGAGAGAGTTGCTACTTTCTGGTGACAGTATTTGACACCCAAGAATAGTCCCATCTTTCTAGTCAAGTCAACCTCGCACCCATACTGAGCCCCTGTGCTAGTCTAGGCCATGTTCTGAACTGGCAAAATGGAGCTGATTATGACATGACCCCCACCCAGGAGGAGCTCACTCTTTTCAATCATTCCAAAGACCCTTAGAGGATTTGGGGCATGGGTTCAAGAGGTGAGATCTGGAAAGATAGGGAGTGATCAATTATTTTAGTCAGTGCTTTTCTGGTTTTCTGGAAGAGCTTCACTCTGCTTTGCACAAGAGTAGATGGAGGAGTGAGAAGAAGGACCCAGTCCTGGCACTGGTGGACTTCCTGCATGTGGCCAGCTAGTGGAGTGAAGTGATTTGAAAACAATGTGGTGTGAGCATTCCCAGGGTACAGTCCATGAATATCTGAAAAGTGGATAAGTATCACAGAAAGTGGTATGCCACTGTCCCTGGAATTATTTAGTCAGAGGCTGTGGAATGATCCAGTTTGGATCACCAGATATTTATTGAACACATGTTGTGTGCTGAGCCTTGAGGACATGTAGATTAATAATACGTGGTTCCTGCCTTCAAGGAACTTAAAGTCTAATAGGGAAATACAGGTACATAAGTGATAATTTCAGTACTGGAGAGTGTTCTCTGCTTAAGGTATGAATATACTGCTGTGGGGACATAAAAGAAAGGGGATTTTAGCCCAAAGTGGGGGTACTGAAGACTCTTTAGTATAGGTGAGGAGTGGACCACATGATCCCTAAGGGTTCTTCCCAACTTTAGAATTTCCTTGGGTTTCACTTTTTTCCTCATGGAGAGACCTCAAAACCTAGAAGTTTTGGTGTTAGTTCTGAAGATCATAGAATCTCTGTTCCAGAGAACTAAAATGATCTGAATAATGTCTCATTGTAATTGATTAGGATATATATTATTGTCCCAGTTGTGTAGATGATAAAATTGAAGCAAGCAATTTGATAGAGGTGTCACAGGAATTCAGTGATGGATTGAGTCTGATCCATTAGCCAGCTCTGTATGGGCTATGTCATTTTGGTTATTTGCTCAAGGAAAGGCCCACAGTTTTGCCTTGGAAGCTTCATTTGTTAGGTGCATGAGCATTCCTGGCTGAAAGCTCCTCTCTGGTTTGATTTCAGGCAAGCCCAACTCAAGATCCATCCCTCTGGAATGGGAAGACACATATGGAATTGCCCTTGTCTCTGGGGTGAAGTATAAGAAGGGTGGCCTTGTGATCAATGATACTGGGTTGTACTTTGTGTATTCCAAGGTGTACTTCAGGGGTCAGTCCTGCAACAACCAGCCCCTGAGCCACAAGGTCTATATGAGGAACTCTAAGTATCCCCAGGATCTGGTGCTGATGGAGGGGAAGATCATGAACTACTGCACTACTGGCCAGATGTGGGCCCGCAGCAGCTACCTGGGGGCGGTATTCAATCTCACCAGTGCTGACCGTTTATATGTCAATGTATCTGAACTGTCTTTGGTCAGTTTTGAGGAATCTAAGACATTTTTTGGCTTATATAAGCTCTAAGAAAAGCACTTTGGGAATTCTCTCCATATGGTTCCCTGTTACAGGCACTGAAAATATGGTCTTGAATGAGAGTCTTCTTAAGCCCACTTGAGGTCAAGTGAGAAGACATGAGCCAAGAGTATCTAGAGACCACAGGGTCCAGCAGGTCTATACTTCCTCACCTCATGGGCCAGCCAGGAGGGGGAGTATGACTGAAGAACTTGAGACTCTGGGCTGCCATGTGAAGATGCAGAGGCAGGAAGAAGCGCTACCAGAGTGTTCTACACTCATTTTAAGTGTCCAAAAGCATTTTGGCACATTGAAAAGGACACCCGTTAACTCACCTCTTGGGGTGGGTCTGCTATCTACTATCTACCTCAGGGGAGGCTGTCTTTCAGATCCATGGATGTGACATGTGTGTATAAGGAATGGAAAAAGAGGACTAGGCTTACATGATAAGCTAAAGAGACCAAAGGCCAGTGTCGCATTGGAAGCATCTTTACTTCTAAAGGCAGAGCTTGAGCCACCAGGTGATGCTAAGACTGAAGTAAGGGGGATCTTTTGGGAAGTTGCTCCATTCCCCACACAGCGTGTACATTTCCAGTGCAATTTTAGGTGTGTGTGTGTGTGTGTGTGCATGTGCGCTCACATGCATGTGACTAAAAGAGTTACATAAGAAGAGACAATGTGGAGATTGTGAAGGATATGTTAGGAAAATATGGGTTGCATTTAGTGGTAGATTTTGAATACTTCTTGGCAACTGACTCAGTTGTCCTCAAAATAGTCCTCAAGACTCTTTAATTGTCAGCTGTTGATGCTGTTTTCCTATAATATAATCAGTATTTATATACATTTTGTGTATTTTAATAAAAAGAATATGTGTAATAAAAATTATATTTTAGAATACAGGTCAACATTATGAATGTACTTTTTGGAAATCACTAAAATTTGGGTTTTTTTTTTCCTTATTATTTCTTTCCTCCATGGCTTCTTCACTCCTTTTGCCTTAAGGCCACGTTAAGAAGAATTCACTGGAGTGAGAACTGTGATGCATATCTATTGTTGCCAGACACATCTCTCCCCCAGTCTCTTTCCATTATCCAGAGTTTTTATTACCTATATTATTGCCAATGCTAAGCTCACCCAACTTTCAACAGGTTTGATGACAACTTCCCCCAGGCTCCTCCAGGAGCAGAGCCATAGCATAGTGGAAAGGGCACAGACTTTGGACTGAAAAACCTGAACTTGAATCTTTGCTTCTCTACTTTCTAAATGCAATCACTGGGTGAGTCACTTGACTTCTCCCGGACAAAAATGACTGATATGTATATCAAGTATCTGATACATGGCATCTATCATTTTAATAAGCCACTCTATGAGAGTCACTTCTTGCTCCAGAAGAAACCACTGACCTGAGGCATCCATCCAAACACCTGGTTTCTTAGATACTCCTGTTCTTCCCTCACAATGACCTTTCCTTTTTTTTCGACTACTCACTACCATAGCCTCCCCCTAGACTTTGTCTTTGTTAAAAACTATGGTATTTCCTTTACAATTTGATTTCAGACATCTTATTTTCACACCATCTCCTATTATTCTAGCTCAATTGCTCCAACATTTTGTCTCCTAAAATGTGTCTGTTTTTACCACATTGAGACCTCTGATAAACTCCATTTTTTCCTTACATATCCATCAGCTCCATCTTTATTTTCACTCCTCTCTCTGACAAGCTTAGATTCTACCCTCTGTCATTACAATCAGTATCTTCGAAAATTTCTCAATTCCAGAATATTCTGTGTCCTTCACTGTATTCTCCTTGCAAAACTCCCGTTTCTTTTAAGCTGGCGTCCTACAAGCTGGTTGTTGCTTAGAGAAAAATTAGCCAAACAGACAGACTGGTTTCAGTTTATTTTTATCTATCATCTACCTAAATCAATTACTCTTTATCACTGATTTATTTCTATCTTTTGATTGATTTGAATAAGTAATACATGTACATAGTACAAATTTTAAAAGGCACACAAAGATATAGGATGACAGTAAGTCCTCTTTTGACTTTTCCCATGGCCCCATTTCTGCCCACAGAGACTATCATTGTCTCCTTATGTAGGGTTCCAGAGATGGTCTATATATATGACATCAATTTACATCTAGGTTTCCCAACCTTGGTTCTATTGACATTCTGAGCTGGATAATTCTTTGTTGTGGGGGCTGTCCTGTGCACTGTAGTATGTTTAGCAGTATCTCTGCCTTCTATCCACTAGATGCTAGTAGCATTGTCCTCTCCTCCATATGTGATAACCAAGAATATCTCTAGGCATTGTCAAATGTGCCCAGGCTGGGGATAGGAAGAAAAAAATCAGCCCTGCTTGAGAAACACTGCTTTATATTAGTGATCACAGATCTCAAATGGACATTCAACGCTGCCTACCACTTCTTCAGTTCCCTGCCAACCATGTTTTTCCATTGTTTGAGACAGTTACATCATATCTTTTCCTCTTGCAAACCCCTCCTCCCATTATGGAACCTCACTTATACCACCAGAACACACTACCCACATCTGCATGATCTCTTTCTTTTATCCTTATAGTGGAAGAAGAGGACCATCTCTTCATTTGTGCACTAGATCCATTTCTATTCCCCTACTTTGCCTCTTTAAAATTGTTCTTCTCTCTTCTGGATCGTCAAACCATCTCTGTCTATGAAGTGATTTCTATCAGCATGAACATATGTTCAAATATCCTTTTTCAATAAAAGACAGCCCAGCCCAAACCAAAAAAATCCCAAACCTTTCTTTACCTTTCCTCTTCTCCAGTGATGGTTGCATTTCTCATTTTCCTGGTAGAGACAAACATCTGAGAAGGTTGTCTCCACACACATGGGCTCCTTTCCTTAGCCAGGAATGGTCTTCTTCAGGCTCCTCGTGTGCCTGGCTTCTTCTTATCTTTCAGGCCTTAGTTTAAATGTCACCTCCTCAGATCATTCTTAGAGCTCCTCTCTTTCTCATTATTTTATTTCTTTTTAGTTCCTTATTAGTAACTAGCATAACTTGTGGTTATATTATTTATTTGACCACTTAAAAATGTTTTTCCACTAAAATAAAGTTCCCCAAACAAGACCTTTTCTGCTTTACCACTGTATCCTCAACACCAAATCCAGTGCTTGGCATGTATTAGGAACTCAATAAATATCTGTTGACTGGATAACCTTAATTATAAAACAAATGTTTCTCAATTTGGGGTATGTGTGTATGTTTCTCAGAGTAGTGAATATATTCACTACTAGTCGTAGTGTTGCCTCATGAATATATGTGAGTGTTTCTCCAGCTTTGAGTAGATTATCTAATGGGAATTTGAGGCTACAGATGGAAAAAATAGTGCATCCTCATTCTTAGCACTGGAAAGCGAGAAAAATCTATTTGGTGTCTGGCATTACCAGGAATTACTCAGGATATTGTTGAGGGAAACTCCTGGGTAACTAAAGCTGAACTTGTCACTTAGAAGATATTCAATACATATTTGTTGAATAAATTAATTAACAAAACAAATGTCCAGGCTGGAGTATGTCACCTGCTCTTCTTAAAACTCATCTGCTTCCTGACCAGGTACCTCATGGAGAAAGTCAGGGAGGTATTCACCCTTCTTCTGGCTGCTTGTCTGTATTATGGACCTTAAAAAAAATCACTTTTATTTAAATGACCACTTTTATTTAAATGACCTCACAATGAAGTCCACCTCACCCTTCTTCTCCCCGTTTGGCTCCAACCATCAAGTATACCAGTTCTAAGGGTAATGGGAAGTTTTCTGGACCTTTTTTTTTAAATCAATAGATCCTTCTAGATAATGGCGCCAAAGCAAAAAGGAAGTGGGAATGGCACTGGGGCATCCCGAGATGACATAATGCAATTAGCTAGCAGTGCTTTTACTGACACTTTTCTCTCTCTAAGTCTGAGCTCTACTAGGATGCCTTTGGGATTTTCTGAAGATAGGTCCATAACTTACTAAGCTCTAGGAAAGAGACGTTAACAGTTCCTTCAGGAAACTTGACTTACTTTGCCTCAGTAGGAACATAAAGAATGCCAAAAAATCAAAACTTTCTGATGAGCTCATTAAAAATGGGATCTGCCATCATTAATTTTGAAATGCTAAACTCAAAGTGAACACTTGAAAAAAAGAAGAAGGAGAGGATTACTGCTGGTTCAGTAGTTTGAGGTTTTCTTTCTTTTCAAACAACCAAAAACATACAAAACCCATGTTTTTCCTTAGCACCCCCAAGGTGGTGACCTTATATTCTCTGAAGTAGGTTTTGACTTACCACAGCTTACTAGGAAATTAGTTCTACATTATAAGTGTGACTCATCTGAACCAACAGATCACTGGAAGATGGGAATTGGAGAGAGAAGACTGACTTCTCTGAGCTGGACTGTAAGATTTCCTTAGGGTTAAGCCATAGACATTCCCTTGTCTTTATCTAAAAAGTATGCCAGCCATATGTTAAATTATATTTTTCAAAGGGGTCTGCTTATGTTCTGGTATTAGTAGGGATAAATTTTTACTTTCTGTAAAAATTTCTGTTTTTTCTTTTCTCCCCTCCCTCCCCCCACTTGGATCATCCAGAGGCAGAATGAGGTGGCCTTGGGAAATTAGAATCAGAACCCCATTCCTTAGGGTCTTCAGACTCAGAAACAAACCTTATTCGGAAATATCATAACTATAGTTGGTAGCCAGGAGCCTTTGGGGTTCACCTAAAAGCCAACATGCCTTGGAAATATAGACAGCTAAGTGGGTATTTGGCTCCTTAGAGTTCACCTCAGTGGTGACTTTCTCATATTGCCAAAGCATCATCCTTATTGGGAGACATTTCTCCATAGTTCTAACTGTACGTCTTCAGAGAGGAGCACAAGGCAGATATCCCTCCTCTCCCACTTGGAAGCTCCTTTGGCTCTATGGGGTCACCTTTTCTTCTGCTTCTCAATTGAATAACACAAACTCAATGTCATATTCTGTGGAAAGTCAAGTCTTCTCTCCAGTTTCCTGAAAATTTCAGGGAGCACCCTCATTCTCTTAGGCAGCCCACATTATAACAG